CATTGTGTGGACGTTTAACCGTATTTGATAAGCGAATGCAACACCGTTGAATGCAATTGATTGGTGAATTTGGTTCGTTAAGTGCAAGTAACGCCTGCACACTAGGAATGTGTCACATGCAAATGAACTGGAAATTGCGTTATCATGCAATTTTTTAATGTTAAACAATCCCGCTTTCTTAACTTCTCATGGTGCTATAGTCAAGCAGTAGCTAAAATTAGACCTACGGCATTAAAATAACTACCATTATTGTGGCTATGCTTGTCTGCGGGTTTGATTGTCGTTGTTTTAAATATGGTATCTTCTCCAACGATTGGTCGATATTCAACAATAATTAGTTTGCGTTTTTTTTTAAATAAGCGCCATGTTTATGGTTGCTTCAGTTCGATTGGTTAAACTTTATATCACTAGTCATGAGTTTACTTGGCAACGTGCGAGGTACTAAATTCGGAGGTTTTAGTCAAGCCTGTCCAACGACCTAGCAGAAGTGCTTGAGGTCGACTTACGCAAGTTGTGAAATCCGTCTGCTCTTTAGTCGCAAAAGTGTCTTTCTTGGATCTCACATTTTGCGCCTGCATTGAAAAACGAATTGACCACCATGTTTGTGCGCGGTGATTCAGAGTAATCATTGTTAGCGAGAGTACCCGCCAAATATGCGTGATATATTCTCATCTCAGCATACAGTGATAAACGTTGAAATTGTACTGTAATTGAGAATTGACTCCTCATCAATCGTGTTGCGTACTTCTTAGCAGTTCCTCGAATGTGCATAGTAAGCCCGTCCAACATGCTTCGCTTCATAAGGCAAACACTAATTTGGTGATTCTGTCACCTTCATACTAAACGACAGGTCCATGTCACCAGATTGGTTTTGATTCACTGAAGCCGCTAGGCGCACCGATTTGGTTTGACTATGTGAGAGTTTCCACAAGCCTGCCTAGAGCGCAGTTTGCAGTTGGTCAGTGAATACCGCCATGATTTGCCAAATGTAAGAGCGACGGGATTGTGTTTTGTTTTCGGCCCGTTTCTTGATTATGAAGGTGCTTTCCTGCACAAACATAATACCTGTTTCTTAGACATTCGTTTTGGTTAATTAAACAAAGCAATGCAATCTAAATTCAATTAATCAGATTAGGTAAGTGTACAGTGAGGTGATTTTTCAAAAGATGAATTAATTTGTTCACTTCTCAGTGAAGGGGCTAACAACCATTTACAAGCTAATTCGACTTGCTTGCCGACGTCTATTTTGATTATCCCGAGCTTTTATTATTACAACTAGCATTTAGACTGACCACTGAAAATAACGAAGGCTAATATATGTCCTTCATACACATCACGTTTTGCGACTATTCAATCTCCAAGACCGCAAACTAAGAATAGATTAATTGATCAAATTATCTCGACAATGGATTTGGAAACTCATCACATTGTCAGCATGACTACTTATATATTGTCTTTAAATTCTGACCCTATTTAACCTTGGAGTAAATGGCGACCATGATCTACCAAGCGTAAATTTGACTGGATCATATTTTGTTGTCAACTTGATGCTTGAATATGAAGGTGCCTTTTAGATTGTCAAACTGCACCTGCTTACATAAATGGTGTGATTTTCCAAAACACACATCGAGATCGTCCTCTTTTCAACATACACGAGGAAGCCTTAAGTCGAGCATTTGACTGTTTTGTCATTGTATCTGATGACTATCACTTGTTTAACCAGTACAAACGAGATTAGACTAGCTTGCTGAACACATGGCGGTTAATGTTTCGTGTGTTCGCATTGTGCAGCATATACAGCACGTGGTGTAGTTTCTCCGTTTATATCATAAAACACCATCAACGATTCATTTAATAATTTTTTTAAACTATATTACATTGTGTTGAGGTCAAAACCAAATAGACCAACGCTTACAAATGATATGGCTTAAAACATTTGTGAAAGTACAAGAACAAATCCACATTGTGGACCATAATCATAACGCTCTTCTCAAAAAAGGCATTAAAAAATTGAAATCAGAGTATTTCAGATTGACGTCATGACTTGAGCTAGCCTCACAAGAACCAGTATGAGATTTTAAGGAGCCAATGAAATATTTTATTACTGCGATATTACGTCTGTCTATCAAAGAGCTGATTAGTGAATGCGAGATATTTAAGCTGTTAATTTCCGCGATGATACTTCACGCAATCTACATTACGAGGTTCAACAGAGACCGTCAAACATGAGTCTTAAATTCGTGTGCGCT